CCCCAAAACCCCAAAACCCCAAAACCCCATAAGAAAGAAAATAAAACTTAGATATTGTGGTAGCTTGTCTTTTACGTATAAATATATTATAAAGTGAGTATAAATATTTCACTAAATATAAAAAAATACTTTAAAAAATATTTTATTATCTTAATTAGCTTAATACACTGTCATTCCTACTATTAATAATCAATTATTATCATAAGTTTGGAAAGTTCTAATTCTTAAATATAATTATCCAATGTTTAGTTGCTGTCATCACAAGGCAAGAAAGTCAATATTCTAACAATAAGGAAATCAAATTATTAGAAGTTTCAAAATTTCAAATGATCTAGGGGAAGATCCTTCTATTGAAATGGAAGTATAATAATTATCTAAGGACATAAACAATATTTCAACTCTTCAAAAAGTATCTCGATAATAAAAAATGAAGAAAGTACCTTAAGTCGCAAAAAGTGATAATTTGGAAAAATAAAGAAATCATTTAGATTAAAATTAAGGACAAGAGATATTAGAAAAGGTTTCCGAAAAATGCAGCATTTAGGAAAAAGAGAAGATATCCGCTTTTACGTTTTCAGAGGAGAGCATTAATAGGGTAGACTATTAAAATATTTAGGCATATGACAACGAAGTCGACTCTTCGGACTCAAATAAATCAAGAATAGGATTTAGTTGCAGAGAATAAATTCGTTTTATGCCAGTGTAGCTAATAGATCCCGAAATAAATGCGTTAAATTCTGATGCTACAAGCAATTCCTTATTAAGCAGTTTAGATGATATCAGTTCAAATTAAAATTCAGAGTATAAATAGGACTCTGAGTATAACATTGATTCATATCATAAACCTTCGTTCATATTCTAAAAATTTGACTAAAATGATCTTTATAATCCGTATACTCTGAGATTACTTCGAAATAGGCGCACAACAATAAATGAATATTCTAGAGATGATAAAAATTAGACTATGGATTTGGGTCAAGCTTAATAATTAAAAAAGAGTCAATATAATTTCTCAAACAGTTCCTCGCTATATAATAAAAATATTGATTAACTATCGGAAGAAAATATGGATACCTCGAGATAAGATTGATTATTCTATTAAAGTGTCACCAAATGAATTTAACCATGTTAAACCAAGAGTATTGTTTTGATGATCTGCCATTTCTGTTGTAAATCTCTAATCTTATAAGTAAATAAGAACTTATTAGACAGATCAACCATTACAAGAAAGTTATAGTAAGGAATCATTAATATTCTAACATAATTAAAGTTTTCAATTTACGCACTTGTTATTTTCCTATACTTTTGCTCCACGGGGTTTTGGGGTTTTGGGGTTTTGGGG